CTCGCTCATTCCTATACGGACCAAACATATTTTGGAAGAAACGACCATGCTGATGATGGTGTACGTGAGTAGGCGCATCATTTTGATCACTGTGAGCCGATGGAAGAGGCCTAAAATCCTATTGATCACTTGATAAGCTCGAAGTTTGCTGCGAGGAATAATTCCTCTTGAAAAGCGAATACAAATATTAAAATCAGATCTAGCATGTCCTCGCCAAGATGTAATCACGATTACCCTTTAATCTTAATGTGATAATCAGATTTTCTGGCGTGAGCCTGGGAACCAGCTCAAAAGCGTACTACGGCTGATTCGTACCAAACTAGTCCGTAAGTATGAAAAAACCCTGACTTGGTCACCGGTTGGCCTTCGCATATATACTGAACAGGGCACGTTATTAGTTGGTGATTTTGGCGAGTAGACTCGACCAAAATCACCAACTAATAACGTGCCCTGTTCAGTTATATGCGAAGGCCAACCGGTGACCAAGTCAGGGTTTTTTCATACTTACGGATTCCCCCCCCCCTCTTTTTAGAGGTTTAGTACGACCCCCTGCCTCCCTCCCCATCGAGCTGTAGAGGGGGTGGGAGAGGTAAATTGTACACATAAAACAGGAAGAACCAGGAAAAGTCAGCAACCCCTGTCAGAAGGTCAGAGAGCAAACCCCCCTCCCAACCACGAGCAGCTACGACTCCCCTTTACAACGTACCTCAAACAAGAAAAAACAACAAACAAAAAATTTTCTTCTCAGCCTAAATTCGACCAGGAGCTAGCTTCTAACAACATGACCTTGGTAAGTTGTCGATCGCATAGCAGGAGGTGCTGATTAGGGATTGGAAATTAAATGGATTAAATGGTACGAGGCCGTAAACATACGTGAAGACAGAAAATGAGGTTCCGTTTGTAGAAGCGATCAGAGCACAAAGTACAGCTTTTTTTGAATGGAACATTTTGGCTGACTTCAGAATACTCCCACTGTGAGTGCCTGTCGCACTATCTTCACCTGTGAGCTGTTTCCTATTGATCTCGGAGAGCGCTAGGTGGCATGGAAATTGAAGCATACTGAGCTTCGCCCCTCCCTACACCTGTGGATTTCACGAAAAGGTGGGAAACGCACAAATAAGTGGTCATGAATAAACATTTTATTTGACACCATCAAATGAATCCCGGTCCAATCAATGCCCGATGCCACAAAATCATTGCTGGTGATAGTGTGATATGTGATCGTTTAGTTCGCGGGGGACGAAGAGGCGCGTCAGACGGAATGAGTCTGGCGCAGGGTCAATCCGTTCTCCTCCAGTTGTTGAAGCGAGCAAGTGACAAGGCTGCACCATATCTTTCGTATCGCTCCTTTTTTACTATTTGTTGCCGCATACCCGTTTCACCAACTGCAAGAGAACGGGTTTGGCGCTGTGGCTTACACATACTTCCACACTGATTCGCTTGTTCGCACGAACACGAATGCAGAGTAGTAATCACAACATTTTAGGCAAGTGAATGAAGAAACAGTACTTCAATAAGGTCACTAATCTAAGCATCGCTTCCTAGAAACAGTACATTTATTAATATCGCACAGCTACGTATCACAAACGCTGTACAAGCATAACCATTCTACAATCCGAACAGCCCTCACTAAAAATCAATTAAAGCGCTGAAGCCGCAAATGACCTGTATTGTGTAGACTAATCCACGAACGAAAGTTCACAGCACAGTAAAAGAACCAGGAGTTCCGTAGCCAGTACTTAAAGACAGCTCCCGCGATAAAAGTCTCATGGATAGCTGCTTTCCAATTATGAAACAGCACACCTCACAAATCGCTCCCTCACAGTTACACCTCCCTGCGGTCTCTGTGCAGCCCCTAGCTCACAAATCTCTATCACATCTCGCAGTAGTTGATATCATCCAGTGCAAAAAAAGAATACAAAAAGAAAACAACAAAAACGCAGAGGAAAAACTCTGGGAAGGAAAAAGGAATTTTATCAACACGGTGTCTGAATTTGTGATTACGGTAGCGCACGTGGTTTTGCATCACGAAAATTGCGTCACTCGTGTTTTTTACGCGTTTCACCTCGCGAAATGGGTTGAATTGAATGTATATACCTCCAATGAGTAAACTGTAATGAAGGAGAGCAGAATTATCCAGGGGCATTAGCAATGCCCGCCGCCCCAACTAAGAACAAGTGAGTGGCCTCCGTCGGAGGACATCTAGCAAGTAAAGGCGGTCCGACTGAGGAGGAGTTAGAACTAGCACTTTGAGCGGCTATAGCAGCCTCCACGCTCACAATAGAGTCGCGAAAGGTGAACAGTCTTCTAGCTTGGAGGCTAGACTACTTGCACAGCAAAGGCGACCACGAGCCACTTTGATCGCGGGGGCTGTCTTTAATACCATCCCTTCCCGGAAGGATAACACGGAGTTTCAGTACTTTAGTTCGGCGAGCCTTACAGTTCTGAGTGGAAGCAGAATAGT